AGTATAGAGGCTGGGTGTGGAATGTCATACAAACCTGGACAGATGACAAGAAAACAGCGCTAGCTGCCAACCACCTTCTCTCTGTTTGTCAGGATTAGTGCTTGCTTTTTGTTGGGATGGCTCAACGCCTCGTCCTGTATCTGACTGGCATACTGGGAGGACGTAAGCTGATGAAATACTGGCCAGACAGGCTGTCAGTTTAAAGGCTCAGGAGAGGAAACAGACATAGGGCCTTTCTGGTTAAGGAAAGAGCATTGGTCCACAGCTTGCCTTTTCTTGGCACAGCCTGTCCATTCCCAGAATCACTTGCTCCTCCTGTAAGCAGTTTTTCCAGGTATGTGGAAATTAAAAGCTCAAACAGTAGTAGATAAAATTGGACAGGCTGCTTGAAGAGTATCTCCCCCTGTACTGTACCCAAAACCATCCTGTGGCTCTGACAGAGCTCTGCCTGCAGCAGGGAAGAGAAATTAACTCATGCATCTCCTTCTTAACAACTTCAGCTTTCAGAGTGGTGTTTTCAGAACAACCCCAGTTTCAGTGTGGCTTCAAAACTGCCATCGGCCAGGAGCAGCCTTGTGAGCTGTTTGGTCATGAGGTGGCAATTCTGTCCTGAGGTGGGGTGAACGGCTTGGGGGGAGCGTAATAACTCCTTCAGCCATCTGATTTTAATCCCTTACCATATGTGACTTGAAGTCCTTAGATGCCCTCTACTGCCATATACCAGAATTAACAGATGGCTCTGTGTAACCAAATTCAGATTTGCTTAAGTTTGTTATTCTCTCTGTCCTTATAAATGAACAGAGAAGGGGAAATAATATCCATAATTATTGCAAAATATGCAAAGCATTTTATAAAGTGTGAGTTTGGGCTAGACATATTTTCTGACTTTCAGTGCCATTGCCCTACATTTCAAAATTTAACACTAATTTTAGTAGTCTCTTCAGAGCTCATTTCTCTGATAAATTATCCCTCTGTGAATAAATGTGATCTGGAAAGATGCCTGAGGCACAGCAGAATTTTTCCCCTGCATTTCATGCCACATGATGCTAGACAGAAAGAAGCTGCAAAACCTGCTGCTGTGGATCAGCCTTTGTTCTGGTGAGGAAGGAACCTCAGCCATTGGACGTATCTTTTGCGTAACACAGAACAGCAGGTAAGAGTGTACCTGAAATAGAACAAGAATGAAATTTCTGTCCTCCCTGTGCCTGTGTTATGACAGGTTTTGTGTGCTGGCAGGCACAAAGCAATCCTAAGTCAAACAGAACTAATCTTGGAGGAGATCACTCCCCAGGCTCTTAAGAATCAAGTGGCTCTGTGGTGCTTGAGCTTTAGCTGTGTTGGCTATGTCCACTCCTTTTCCTTCTATAGGAAAAGCCAGCAAACAATCCCTCCTTTAATTCCCTGTCCCAGGTTCCTGTCGCTGATTTCAATGAGTGGGTTTGGGCCAAATTAGCAGCCATATTTTGTGAACATTTTTAAACATGCCTTACCTTTCCTGAGGAGAGTATTATTTCTTTCTACTCTAGGTGTTTGCTGGTGATGTTACAAAGAGAAGCAGGCCTGACAGGAGGGAGCATGAGCTTTCCAGTGGAACATGTGACAGCAGGGACCTGCTCCAGGTAAATGGAAGACATGCAGGAGAGCCTCTGCCAGGCCAGTAAAAAGCCTAAGTTCATGAAGGGTGCAAATTTCACACTGCTTTCTTTTCCCTCCAGCAAAGTCTTCTACTTTTAGGCACACTGGTCTAGAATATGCTGCTTACATTTTTCAGGAGCTTTTATAATTTTTTCAGAACATAATCTCAAACTAGCATAAGTCCATAGCAAAATCTTATTATGAATGAGGGCTTTGTTCTGGGAGGCTATTTTTGAAAATGCCAGGTTATCAGCTAGCCATTGCATAAAAGGCTGAAACAGGAATTTGTTCACATGCCTTTGTTTCAGCATATTCATTCCTTCAATGCCTCTCCCCACTTTCTCCAAGAAATACATAGAGCTCTTCAAGTCCTCCTGGCAGGTGGGCTATATAATGTTATGGTGGCAAACCTGGAAAGCTTTACCAATTCATACCACCCAACAATGTGGTTCATTGCATGTATCTTTATTAGATCCCCATTTTCCCAGTTTCTTTAATGGCATTTCAATCTTTCAGTGGCTTTTTTTCTTCCCCTATCCATCAGGGAGTGAAATCATGTGTCCACAGAATGTAAATAACAGCTGTTTCTACTCAATTTGCATTTATATGCTTAGCACTTAAAAATAGCTTGTTTCTAGAGGCTTTCATAATCTATTCAATATTTCTTCTTAGTCAGAGGTACTAGTGAGATGTTAATGAAATCCCTTTGGACTGGCTGATCAAAAAGGCACAGCAACAACAATGAAATTCTTTGGATGCCTGATCAGTTATGCTTCTGAGTTACACTTCAGAGCAATCGACTGAAGTGTATCTTTTAATCTCCTTGGGCATTTTAAGATTGGTTAAAATGTTCCTTGGGCTGCTCTGACTGCTCTAAGGGGGCAAAATATGCCAGGTAAGGAGATTAATGGTTAAAAAAAATCTGTGCTCAACTGGTAGTGTATTTCTAGAAAAATTAATTTATCATACAAGTACAGCTGAACAGGGAAAAAAAACCAAACAAAAACAACACCTGGCAAGGTATTTAAAGGGAACAGCTCATTTGCCAGTGTCACAGATCTTTGAATAAACAAACTCCTTATGCCCTGAGAGTAACTGAAAAACAGCTCTTTGGTTTTTATACTACTATTTTCTTTTGTTGACATTTCATGAACCCTAAAGAGGATACACAATTGTATTTATTAATGCCTAAATGAAGATTTTAAGAATTATGTTCAATTACTGTGGGGTTTTTTTCCTCCAGAAAACTTTGGAAGCCTTTCACCTCATTATTTTGCCAAGTGTCTCAACTTGAACCATTTATTTAGATTTCTTTGCTCCTCTGAAAACTGATAATTACAGAACAATGACATTTATTGACCTTTGGTATGGTTCATTTAGTCCAGCGTTGAATGTGTAAGAAGATGCTTACTCCTAAGTGCAGATTTTGTTTGGTGTTACAGAAATGCACTTTCTTCTCTGCAAAATTTTTTATTCAGAAGAAAAATCATTTTATTTTTACAGGAGTCTCAATTAGGGCATCTCTGAACAGGAGACTCTAGACTGGTGACTGAAATTGTTTAGAAAATACTAATTACATGTGTGAGTTGCTGTATGCATAAGCCTGTGCCAGACTCATTCAGACTTGGTACTCTGAACAGACAAAGGTAATCTAAGATGAGGTAATCTCTAAAAATGCTGTGGGTTCACACTACCTGATTTCAAAGAGCAAGCTTGTCTTTCTAAATTTAAAAAAATGTCCCTGATGTCAAGAAGGACTTGTACTGGGAACATAAGAGGAATACAGATGGTTTATATTCACACTAGCTGGACTAGTTCCCTCTAGAGCAGACTCCTGTGTTCACATCCCACAGTGCTCCTTGGACTCCTGGTGCCCCTCTAGAACCAACATGCAATTCTGATTTTTCTGTGTTATCTTCCAGTTTGAAGTTTGTGTAATGGTGTGAAACTGTCCTGCAGGCTGTGAGGAGAGTGCTTTCCTAGCAGCAGAGGGAGGGTACATGCTGCACGTTCTGGGATGCGGTAGCTTTGAGGGCACAGCCAGCTTGGGTGGTTTAGAAGAGCACATCTTGTGAAGTCAAGCAAGATGTGACCTTGGGAGCGGTGCTTGGTGCTGTCCCTGCAGCAGTGGGAACGTTGCTCTCAGGAGAGCTTCTGGAGGTGTGGGAGCAGCAGCAGGAGCCTGAGCTTTGCTCCCAGACTGCCACAGTGACAACGTGCCCAGAGGGATCCTGAATGTCTCTGCTGCCAGCGGTGTGGTAAAGCCCAGGGTCCTGGTTTCACCTGCCAGAGTTACACAGGTATTTTCACTGCAGAATAAATGCAGCACTGGTAAAGAAACACAAGGCTTCTCCTGCATCATTTCCACAAAGTCATGAGTTAAAATCTTGGTTGTTTTGAGACAAAACACTCACCCAGTTCTAACAATTCAAGCTTTTGTCCCTGGACTGGACAAGGCCTGGCTAGGCACTGTGAGGTACTAACCACTGCTGCTCTTCTCTTCACGGCCCATGGTGTCACCTTTCAGCCTTACCGGGTTCACTTCAAATCCATCTCAAACATATATGGCCATATAAAGCCAGTGAATTGTAACCTCATGCAGCCAAAACTAGAGCGTGTTTTTTTCAGTATTTTAATACAAATATACGTTCTAGAAAGGCAATTTCTCTGTCATTTTTCTGATCTCTGCTTATGAGGAATTTTCCATGTATTTTATTTGCTCTGTGCTTCTACTCTAAATAGGAAGTCCTTTTATCTTAATCTAGTTCTAATTTTTTTGGAACTTGCCAGCACTCTATTACTCTATCACTAATGCCAGGGTTTTTACTGTAGGAAAAATGGCATGGGGGAAAGGGAATTCTGTAAACACCTACTCTTGGAAAATAACAAAGGAACCTGTACCGAAGCCAGTCAGTATTAAAAATTACAAAATAAATTTTAAAAAGGATATGAAGCCTTATGTTACTTATACCAACCAAACAAATGCTAACTAATTAAGGGTCAAGGAAATATTTTTCCTAGCATTTGCTTATTATTCAATAAAAACCATCAGTTTGTCTTAACTAAAGCAAAAGTGAAGAGCACTCCTGCAGCACAGCTCTAATGCAGTGTAACTCCTACAGAAGCTGGCTTCAGAAAAACAGTACTTAGCATATTATTTATTTAAACAAATCAAACACATTTGAATGAGCAACTAGCAGTGTTTAAGACAAGAAATCTCAGCAGTGTTTAAAAAACTTGGTGCTAATGACTAGGATTGTTTAAGAAACACTGATCTTTGCATGAAACTATTAAGCTCTGTTTTGTTACCATTAGTGAGTAGGAAATACATGTTTGTACAGGAGGGTCATGCTTCAATAGTTTAATCTTTTACTTAGGTTAATTTTTATTCAACATGGTAATGGCTTAGTGCACTAACTTTTCACTGTTCTTTTAATTTTCCTCTGTAACTTTCATGGTCAACATTTTATTAGTATTACCAGAAGAGATGCTAAAAACCAGTTCTTGCAGAATTTTTAAAATCTTCTCATATTTTGCTGGTAGGGGGATCCTTTTGCTGAGTAATTAAACATTGGTAGCAGTCAAAACTGGTCTTATTTAAAAGGTAAATTGCCTCTGACCTGACACTGTTTTTCATCTTGTCAAGTAGTAAAGCTGAATATAAGCATAACTTTTTTCTGTATTTATGTTTCATAAAGACCAGTTGGCAACCTTCTTAGCTGTGCCAACATCTTGTGTTGCCTCTACAAAATGAAAAACTTTGTGATACATACACCTACATCATGACCTTTAATGAAGTGGCATGCCAGGCCATAAACTTCTACTTCTCCAGAAGCCAGGAGATGCAAAATTGCTGACCAAACAAGCTGTTTAGTTCATCCAGCTTCGACATACCTCCCACTGTCTGATCTGCAGTGTTCCAACAACTGCAGTTATACACAGTGGAACTAAAATTCTGTATCAACTGTATTTAAAGTTTCAGATAATTCCATGCAAATTGCCCAGTAAATCATAATTTATCATGTTTGTTTTTGTAGAAGTACCTAAAGATAAAAGTTGAAATAATAGACTCATTTCATAAGAGGTATCAGAAAGATATATAAATAAATATCTTATTTCTCCAAACAGCTTATTATTTTTAGCATAACAGGGTTGATTAAATACAAGGTGAGATTAAAATCTCATACACAGTGTACATTTACAAATTAAATGTGTGTGAATTACTCTATACAGAAAACTCCTATAGAGCTCCTATATACAGACTTTATACTATTGAAGGCTAGCAGAAACATCAAAAATGGTTTTATCTGAATTTTAAGATTATTTTGCATAGTTGTGCTCCTAAATTAAAAAAAAAAAAAAAAAAAAAAAAAAAAAGAGAAAGGCCCCAATATTGATAAAAACATCTTCATCCTCCCTTCACAGAAAAGGAAAAAGCATCTTCACAGGAGAATTGTGTGACATATTCTAGACAATAAAATGTTAAAATAAGATCAACTGCCCTGTGCATGTACTTTTTCAGTTGACTGACCATAAGGGGAGCCTGTGAAGATTAACTCAGTTAATGCCTAATTAGTATCTGTCTCAATCTTGGAGATAATCCCAAATTTTATGTATCATAGGTACACAACTTGTTCCTTTATATTGGTGACTAGTGGGTTTTCTCTAGGTCAATTTTGTTATATTGTAACATTAAAATAAAACATACATCATCTATTACGGATGAGGAATACAGCCTACATCTATTTTATCTCTCCATTTTATAACTTCATTTTGGCTTTGAGAATGGAATGAGCATGTGAGAAATTACAGCAGAGAAGCTGCTAAAATTCATAGGCTGGAGAAACTGAGAAATACATTGCTGGCTTTGAGAAGCAGTCAGTACTGTGGCTTATAATGACCTGCCACAACAATTTATTGTGGTACAGCAGAGCTTGGACATGACAGATGAAGTTCAGACCGATTATAACAGCAGCAAGAGAGAAGTTTCCTATGGAACTTAATAGGAGGGGTGGGGAGGGAGGGCAGGATGGGTGGGTGGATGGGCAGGTGGGTAACTGCTGCCTTCACTGCAATCATGGGGAAGTGAAACAAAGTCATGACACCTGTCACATGGGTCACATTACTGCCCCACTGTCGACTTACTTTTTCCTCAGACTGGGATGGTGGAGATTTTTTTTTGTCTCTGAGTCACCCTACAAAACTTAAAGCAAACAGGCAAAAAAAACCTTTGCCCTTTGAAATGCAAGGCCTTTGGGAGGTGCTAGGGAGCTGCCTTTGCCGCAGTGCTCCCGAGTGTCACTACGGGAGCAGCCCACGGCCGCCTGTCCGGCTAAAGCTGCCCGCGGAGCCCGGCCCGCTCTGGCCCCGGGCGGTGCTGCCTCCCGGCGGGGCCACGCACCGCCTGCACGGCAGCTCCCGCCGCGCTCACCCAAGGGAAAACACCGGCTTAAAAGCATCCGTTTTGGTTTAATCTGGGGATAATTAGAGGAGAGGAAATAATTCTTTTCACTAGGCACCAAGATTAATTGAACTGCGATTTAAATGGTCTGAATTCCTGTGCGGGAGCACTGGAACAGGCTGTCCAAGGAGATTGTGGAGTTTTCTCTGTAGACATTCCAAATGCACCTGGCTGTGTTCCTGTCACCTGCTGCAGGTGACCTTGCCTTGGCAGAAATGTTGGACGATATAATCTCCAGAGGTGCCTTCCAAACCTAACAATTCTGTGATTCTGCAAGGTAAGGGCAAAATTTTTGATACATGACTGAAACAGAGTTTTCTAATGGCATGCAAGCCAAGCAAGGCCTGAGGAGACTTTTAGTGAGACATCTGAAAACCAAAAATCCCTCAGTAAGATGTACCCGACTGTCTACTATCCTCAGCAGTGAGCCTAAGATGCTCTGGAACTCAATAGCTACTAGGTACAAAACAAATGGCTAAGTGCCCAAACTGGGATACAAAGTGCCAGAACAGACTTAACACTGTGAATTTTACACAACTTAAGTTTTCAATTAAAAAGAACAAGGGCAGCAGAAAACAGAAATCCCAAACTAACTTTCAAAAAAAAATTTTTTTTTTTTTGCATGGAAGTAGAACAATAATCAAGTGGATGAAGTCTGAATTCCAAGTTTTCAAGTGAAGAGAAACAAAGACAGTTGCTTGAGACCTAGAAATCCAAGAAGAGAGCTTCAGATTACTGTGAGAGTAGTATTTTAATTGTGTCATGCCTCGGGTAACCCAGGGAAAAGATTTAGTAAAAGAAAACACAGTAAGACTGAAAGCAGCATCACAATAGAGGTTTTAAAACATCAATGTTACAAATTAGTAACAAAAGGACACAGGGTACATGTAGTGAACATGTGCTTTAGACAGTCTCCAGCCACTGGTCAGAAGAGGAAGTACTTTAAAGATAGCAGCCAGGCACATCATAGATTTTTAGCTCTCAAAATGCCTGAAAAGCATCCAAAAGTGTTTGGGAAATATTGTGAAAGCCAGTATTTCTACAGTGATTGTGGATGTTTGGTCACAAACAGGGTTTGACAGGCAAGAACAGACAAATAACAGAAGGTTATGACTGTAAAGGTTTCTCTGTAAAGCAAAATTTCTTAGCAGCATTAGGCAGCAGTAAGCGAAAAAGAATGGGGGAAAATAATTTTAAGTTTAAATCAGTCCAAGGATATATCTTCTTACACTGAAGTCAAACAGTGACAAATTAGGTATCAGCTCTCCAAAAATAAAAGGGACTCAATTTTATGCACTGGAACATAAAACACTGCATGAGATGTAAGTTCACTTATACACCAGAGTCCTCTGGTGAATATATATAGCAGGCACCACAAATTGATGAAATACCAAAATTTGTAGTATTACAAATTGCTACAATCTATTTAAAAAGTTATATTCCAGGCAGAAAAAGCCACTATTATGTTAATGCAAGTGAACTTACAGAGTTAAGCAGCCATCCTTCACAGAGACCCCACAGACACTACTTCACAACAGCAGATATAGTGAGCACCACACCATTAATAAGGAGGCAAAATCACTTGGCTCATGCTGGCTTGAGCACGGACTCTGATATCATTTAAGCACAACAGAGAAAAGGAGCAAAACGATTTCATGCTCTGCCATGATAAACCATTATCAGCTACCCATCATTTGGAGTTAAAAATGCACTGGCACTAGTTTTCTGTATAAATTTCCACAAGTATTTAAAGCAGCCTTTTTACACACATCCAACATTGCTTTTTTCACACATAAAGGATGCTCAAGGGAAAAAAAGTTATTCAGTAGTATCTTTAGAAACTAACAGTTTCTCAACATGTCAACTGAGAAGAAGAGTGGTACTCAATGTCTAGCAAAATCTGTAGAAAATGCACCCTGGCAAAATGACACTAGACTAACAGAAAAAACAAACCCCTTCCTTGGTTATCCAAATTGCTTTGGAAGAGAAATGCAATAAAAATATATGATGTAAATGAGATTATTATTTTCTGATTATTTAGAAGGATCTACTAAGGAGTCTTTATGAAGTCACTGGCATCTTTGGAGCAGCATAATGTTCCAAGCTAGCCCTTTCTATTAGAGGGCTGATGCCTAAAACTGTAGACTGGAACAAAGGGGTTTTTTCCCTTTTCCTGAAGGAAAAAAGTGCTACATGACATAGAATACTACACGAGGAAGAACATTTGAGCACTACAAAATGCTAAAGCAATGAAGTAGAATCAGACCAAACTCCTACTGTAATACAGCTATTCCAACTTATGTATGAACACAGCATCCTCACTGAGTGGTAGTTGGGGTCTGATTAAACAAGCAAAAAGACCCCCAAGAACCAGGAATGCACACAGAAGTTCTCAGATATCTGAGAATGGAGGATGATTTAGAAGAGCAAGTTACTGTGTCTTGGATGCTAAAAATTAACCAAGGTGGCCACAACAACAGGCTTAAATACAATCACTTGGCTGATGTAGAATTAAGCATGGAACCAGGTATCTCACAAGTGTAACAGAAGAAGAAAAACTATTTGTTTTCACAAATACCTCATGTAATATTTTTCATAAATACTATTTCATTAATACTTCCATATTCACGCTCACCTTACTAGATTCCTAAAAGAAAAAAAATATCCCTCTCAAAACTACCAAACTCTAGCACATCCATTTCTATACTTCCCATTTTGACACAAGCCTTGTATGGATTCACTTGACCAATGATAAGCCTCTGACCTCTTGAATTTAATCCGAGCACTCCATCCCTGTTACATCCTGATCTAAGACTAGTCCATTTGTTGACCAGGAATGCACACCTGCCTTCACTGACTCCCTATTTTGTCAGTGCTGTTTTGTTGCTTTTAGTAGAAAATAACAGTCAAATCAAGTTAAGCATGTTCTGTTACAGCCAAACATGTCACCTTCTGTAACTTTTATTTCCAATCAAAATTAACAGCATAGTCCTGATGAACGAGAAGTTATCTTCGCTATCGGTCTTTAGGAGGATTAGGATTCTTGCGTCTTCTATGATACCTAAAAGAAAAAAAATGTTGCAGTGAGCGCAAGCTGTGGACAGCCTTTATTTTTATTGTATTTCTGCCCCCAGTGAGTGATCTGAGGTTACACAAGGAAGTGAAATACAAGATACACGAGCACAATCCATCACCACTCATTAGATGTCATCTCTGTTGTTTGTGGAGTTACATAATGCTACTCATTTCTATTGCTACATCTGCTACAAGCACGCAATAATCCAATCAGTTCTACAGCTGAATAGGCACAAAGGCTGCTGCTTATTCTTAATCCTTTGTGTGAAGTTAATTTTATTACATGGTCAGCCTTGCCTTTGGCTAAAGTGACAAAGACGTTCAAAGGAGCTGTGCCAGACTGTATGTTAAATAGTGCAATATTTTGTAGAAAAACTAAAAACCAAGTTATTCTGAACAAATAATGAACCATACTTTCCTCATAATTATGCATGCTAAACAAGGCAGATCCTGTCTGATCTTCATCAAAGTGACAGCTACCCTTTGGTCATAAAAGTCCTATCTTTCCATTCCTTGTATCTACTCCCAAAGCACATTAATTAAAAAGTTTTCTGTGGACAACAACAGCAAAAAAATTTGCCTGTATTATGTCTCTGTAGCTATAAAATTAGCAGCTATTGAAAGATGGTGTAACATGGAGTGGAAGGGTGTAACACACACCAGAATGCTGCTTGTTTACATTAGTATACCTGAATGCCCAGAGTTCTTCTTTAAGCTCAATCATGTATATGTGCACCTCTCCTCCTCCTCCATTTCTGAATACAAGGCACACCAAAGAGCACTTTTCACCATTCCAAATGAAAAACCTCTACTATTAAGTTCTGAGAATCATCCCACTGAGGTTGCTAAGGAATAGGCAATGCATGTTTCCAAGCTGTATTTGATTATGTCCATTGAGGGTATTTTACATATTAGATTCTGGTGTGGAACTTAGTAAATGACTCAAAGCAGTAGCTAACTGGATGTATGAGAAATTTCTACACTGTCACATATTTTACAGAAAAAAAGTGGCAAAGTCTATCAAAGGAGCAGTGTTTAAAAAAACCCTCATTAAATATAGTCTTCCATTTACCCAACACTGCATTGAAAATTTTATGTAGCAGCCCAAATGCTAGAGGTATCTTGTCTGACGTAACTCATCCTAGGTTGAATCTGGTCATTAAATTTTTCCTGTATTTCCCTTTACTTCCCAAAGAACAGACAAATTGAAAATACTTACTGTCCCACAGGATACCAACGATGTTTTGTTGTGTAAAACATTTTGCTAAGCTCTTCAATTGTAGGACCTCTACTGTTCTTTAGCTCATTTTCATTCAATCTGGATTTTAAAACTTGATCAAGGTTTTCTTCTTTATTATTCACTGGATCTGGCCGTGGTATGGGCTAAGAAAACAGTAATGTATATGTATGTCCTGTTTCTCCTTGTTTAATTTAATTGAGAAAGTAAAAAAGCCAAGCTACATAAGAGTAATCTGTAATGCTATCTAACAGATGAAACCAAAAAAATACAGAAAAATACCTGCAATTGCAGTGGCTGTTTATTGTCCCCACCTTCCCACCCCGTATGAAACCATGCCACCGTGGAGCAGGTATGTCTAGACACACCTATTTACCCTATGTTCTACAGCTGATGACCTTACCCCTAAAACCAGCATTCCTCTAGTCAATGTTGCAGATCTCAATCTTACAATTCACTAGCTGAATCATCAGCTTCAGTTCCACTAACACAAAAGTATCCACACCATTCCCAGTCAGAATTTTATTCACAGCAACCATCTCTCACTATGATATTTTATGAAAAACCTTTGCTAGGATTTTTCTCCTATTCTAGCTGAGAAGCCTCAGAAAAGAAATGTAAACAATAACTATCTGATGGCTGTGGAATGTGCTCTGGACGTTGTTGACCAACAGGTGCATCTTTCATTGGTCCATGTGAATTGTTTCTACTTAATGACCAATCGTGGTCTAGCTGTGTCAGACTCTCTGAGAGTCACGGGTTTTTATTATTCATTCCATTCCTTTCTAGCTTTCTGATGGATCCTTTGTCTCTATTCTTTTTAGTATATTTTTAGTATATCATTTTAAGATAACATAATATCATAACATAATAAATCAGCCTTCTGAGACATGGAGTCAAGATTCTCATCCTGGGGCCCTCGAACACAATTATCATTGCTAAAAATCTTTTACAGGACATGTACCTTTGAGAAGAATGTCACTCCTAATTTTTTATGCAACAGGTAAGACCAATTTGTTTGTTTTCAAATGGAAATGTAACTACTCTACTATTACAAGTATTTTCCCTTCTTTTAGCCTTTTACACCTGTTTTTCTTGAGGTATGTGCAACTGACAGATTGAAAAATATTGCTATGCAATTTGCAGGCAAAAAGTGCTAAAATGGTTTAGGTTTCAATGGAGAATTTTCACACTGGGTACTTCAGCATCACAGCTGCCAGCCGCGGTATTTCACTAGCACATGAGAACTGGAAATTCAAACAAAAAGTGTACTCTAGAAAAATTTATCTAGGTGTTAAACCACAACACTAGATTTATTTTCATCAATGTAAACACATTAAAAGTACTACTGATAGATAAAAATCAATATTTAAAGTTCTTTGTGGCTTTTATGAAGTCAATGCTGAATGGAACTTAAAGTTCAAGTTGAAAACAGTGGCAGCAGTATTTCTTTGTATTCTCTCGTGCAGTAGGACATGTGAACCATAACCTGCATTCCAATCATCCTCTCTGAGTAGCAGCCACGTAGACAGACACTATTTTCTCTGTAGTGCACAAGTGTTTTAGTACCTTGTTTAATTCTCCTAAAGCTTCTGTATGCTGTGATACCTGAGCTTTTCTCACTCTACAACCTTCCCTCAATTCACCTAAGAGTAAATTCCTCCTTGTGGCAGCAGCTATATTCATCAGTCATTTACTTCACAGATGTGCTGATCACATACTCAAAAGTATTTCAAATTAAAAAAGGTGCTCTAAAGACTCAAACCTATGAATTACTAAATGCCTTTACAAGAGTAAGAAATATAAATGTGCACACTTGGACATACTTTTGTATGCTCGTATGGAATCTCAAGCGAAGGGTGGTAGCAGACAATTGTCTTCGAATCGGATGTCACTGCAAGTTCCACTTTGCTATAAAAATTAAAAAAAAACTCATAACTTTCAGAAGTACTGAACAGCTGAGCAGCCCATGTCCCAAAGAAAACTGGATTTGACCCTGCATTTATGAATCCTTAATAGTCTTCTATAAAATAAAGGTCACAAATATTTGATCCAAACCTCCAAGTTTTTGTTTCCTCAGTCATCTTCCTTTTTTAATGGAGAGGAAAAAAGGGGCTAAAATAAATTATTAAAATAGCTGGAAATATGAGTTGGAAAAAAAAATCTTAAACACTTAAATAGTTGCATATAAAACTCTGAACAGATGGGGATAATGATCTCTAGAACAGCATGGCTTTGTAAGATGTATGGCATCTGTAATGAAATAACACGAAATAAAGCTCTGTTTGGGGTTCTAACTTTTCTGTTATGTAGAAAATGCTGGACAAGAAGTCCTACTGAGAGTTTCATTGTGAGAATGTAACTTTTCTCACCTTCCTTCCCCTTCCCATGAGACATTTAGCTTCATAAAACTGTGGTGACATGAATTCAGTGTTTCTCACTGTATTTGTATCATCTTTTCCCATTTCTACACAGGTTTCCCATGCAGCAGCACAAAAACATCTGGACCTTGTCTTAACAACAAGCATCAATGGAAATTACTACTCTAAGCTAATTTTGCTCTTCCACAAACAAAACTGCAAGGGTACTGGGAGTCATCAACATGTTTAGAACAAGTCCTGCATGACTTTTCATTACATTGAAACATTAACTTCACAATCGTTACTATCAGAGACAGTACTTTAGCTGATATTATTAGATATATCCAATATTGGTAATAGATGTGTTTGATACTATTATATGATGACTTCAGGACAGAAAAAGAAAGTAGCCCTGGAATAAACTTTACAGGAAAGGCCACACATCAAAGCACGTTTACATACCAATTGTAGTCTTCAGGGAGAACTGAGTATGTAGATTTATGGCAAGCATGATACACAGCTCCATCTGCAATAAAAATCCAAGTAAAGAACTCTGATGTAGAAACAAGCATAGCTGTGCCAAATTAACAATGTTTACATTTTCAATTTTCATTGTGTCTTAATCAGGGATTATAATCATATTCAGTTTTAGATTAACATAATGCAAATACTCTCTAAAGAGAAGTTCATTTTAGTACACAGCTTTCTAGCAGTGTAATCAAAAAATCACAGTATGCAGGCAGCTATGACCTATACTTACCTTCCTAGTTGCATTGTTTTCCTGAGTAAAACCACTATATGAACAAAACACCTATAGAATTCACCATTAGGAAATATCCTTTATATATGTAAAGAACCTTAGGACTTAGAGGGAAGGTTGTAATTTCATTCACAGCAGTATTTATTATAAAAATCAAAAGGGGTTCTGACTGAATATGTAGAGAAATGTTTTCCTCATGAGGACAGCCAGCCAGGGGGATTCACTCAGGCAGGTTTGTGAGTTCTCTGTCCTTGGAGATTTCAAAGACCCAGCAAGCCCTGAGCTGCCCAATATGACTGCAGAGCTGACCCTGCTTTGAGCAGGAACTTGGATCACAGACCACTCAAAGTCCCTTCCCCATGGTTTGATTCCCATTTTTTTTAAATAGAATCAGAGAACAATTTGGAAAAGACTTTAAAGATCACAAAGTCCAAACACAATTAATAGGTGTTCAATAGCCCCTCACACAGGAATCATCCTGTAGGCATTGCTTTCCACAACAATGCAGGTATGCAGGCCTAAGGCAGGCCTGGGATCTGCCTGGAGTTGACTTCCACTGAGAATCCCCCTCCTTTATTGCCACAACCTGAGACAAATCCACATGGAAGTTTCTGTGTCCAGTAAAGCTTTTTCAACAACTACGCTTTTAGAACAGAATTATGATCACAAGAAACAAGTCTTCACATGTTCTGAGCTTTCTCTTAAGTTATAAAAAGGTTTCAACTTTATCCTACATTATTTTATTTAGACCATCTTTTCATACAAGCAGGATTCTTCATGGCTGCTCCTACAACAGGGAGAGAGCATACATTGTGTCAAGACTGCAAAGGCTGAAAAAGCCAAGAAGAAACTTTTGTGTAGCTATTGTCCTCTCAGAAATATTTTAGATGCAAACTCTTAAATTCAGAATTACTGTCAGCACTTCCACTCTTCAGTTCTTCTAATTAAACTATTCTTAGTTATTAAGGAGTTGAGTTCTGGTAAACTTCAACTAGGCTGTATGTCTTCCTAAAATTTCTTTCCTTCCTTGCCTACTTCCCTCTAAAATGTAACATATCTATTCTATTTTCTCCATTACTGTCTTTTCTACCACCTTTACTATCTTCCCTATGTCTTTCTATTGACACCTAAAACATGGACAAAAATCTAAGAAATAGTACTGCCTGTTTCTACTTGTTCTCTGCTTACGTTAAGTAATGACATTTTACTCCAGCCTTTTCTCACCATTTTTCTAAGTCTGAAAAAATCAATTTAAATCTTCAATGATAATCAGTGGTAAGAGGGTAGTATTTACAAACTAATCAATAAATTTGGGGAGCATCCTACTTGGACCATGAAAGTTTTAAAAGCACAAAAAAAGAAAAAACCAAATAAAGATATCCTTTAGATTACTATTAGAATAGAGCACGGACTGACAGACTTGATTCTCTGTTCAAATAGAAAAATCACTTCCATGTTTCCATTACTTTAAATAGTACAGGAAAGAGGTTCTCAATGAACAAATTTTAATATAGGACTTCCACAATTTCATCACTACTTACTCTGCAGTGGGACCTGCCTACAGGTTGCTGCTGAACGCATCCAAAGGAGGCTGGACCATGCAGTTCTAAGTGACATTGCCATGGTGACAGCAGAGAGGAAACCAGTCCTGGACAAGATGGAACTCAAACAACTTTTTCTCTGCAGAACACCCTCTGAAAGAAACCAGTTTTGTAACTATTCAGCATACAAAAGACTAACAATTAAATTTCTTGAATATCTTAAGGAAAAAACAAATGTGCAACATAATTCTTCATTGTCAATTGTTCAGAAGTCCTTATCACTTAGGATAATGGTACCTGTCTCCTTAACAGTCAAAAATAGCACAAGACTTTATTTACTGAGAGAGAGTCTTTGAAGGTTCAACTTTTAAAAAAAGCTTCCAGGCCTGTACCTTCTCACAGGCTTTTCTACTGGTACTCACGCACCTAAAATTTGCATCCTTCCTTCGGCACACTCCATAAAATTACTAATGAAATATGCTTTTCTTGTTAACAATAAATATATAATAACAGTAAATGTCATCAACCAGTACAAAAATATAAATATTTACAGACTACACTTGCTGTAGTTAAAAAACTCTCCAAATGCAGTTAATCAGTTTCATCCATCTCAGCAATACACCTGAAAACTCAGAAACACCATTTAGAATACCTTAAATGTTACCCAAAATTTCACAGAAGCAGGATACCTTATGTTTTTACTGTCTATTGGGAAAAAAAATTGCTTTAAATAGAAACTTATAATGAAACCTAAAAAATGTCATTGGAAACAGTTTAAAAATATACACATTAAAAAAAAAAAAAAAAAAAAAAAAAACCAAAAAAAAACCCCACAAGAACCTTTTAAAAGTACCTCATATTTTGGGTTACAGAACATCACCAAAAACGTGCATCTTCCAATTTCGACACATAATTATTCAGCATTCTTTTTATCTGTGCCAATGTTGCTGAAGTGAGGGGAGCACCAGCACTTACAGAGCTGCTCATAACTTGCCCTCAGAAGCTCATTAACAAAAAGGGTGCGAGGAACGCGGCGGATCCCGGTGCAAGGACAGAGGTCAGCCCGTTCCCAGCCCGTTCCCGGCCCCACTGCGAGACCGCTCCAGTTGGAATGGGAACAGTCCCACTCCTGGGACAGCGCCCAGGAAACTCCAACGCGTGTGCCAGCGACACGCGAGAGCACGAAACCCGAGGCTTAGAACTAACGAAGACATTCAGCACTACAAACAAAGTCACTAATCCTTCAGAGCAAGCACGAATACCCGTTATAAAAGTCCTGAGCGTGCCGCACAGGGCCCAGCCGCTCCGAACGCATGCAGTCTCGGCGGCCTTGCCCGGCCTCCCCCGCGGGCACCACCAGCCCCGCCGGCGGAAGCGGCGCCACGCGCCCGTTCCGGCTCCGGCGGCGGCTCGGCCCGCGGCACGCCGGGACTCGTAGTGCGGCACCGGCACCGCCCGCCTCGCCTCCCGCCCTCAGCGCTGCTCCGGCATCGGTGACAAGCTCTCAGCCGCTTCATAATAATATGGCTGCGGGAAGAGCTAGGCCGGGCGGTGCCTGGCCGGGCTGGGGAGCAAGAGGATACACAAACACATATTCACGGAATCGGTTAGGTTGGAAAAGACCTCTGAGATCATCCAGTCCAATCTTTGACCCATCTACACCTTGACACCTAGGCCATGGCAGTAAGCGCCATGTCCGGTCATTTCTTGAACACCTCCAGTGATGCTCCACCATCTTTCTGGGGAACCTGTTCCAATGTTTAACAGTCGTTCCTGCGGAGGAATTCCTCATCAGATCCAGCCTGAACCTCCCCTGGCTTGAGGCCTCTTCTTGTGCTGTTGTCCAAAAGAACCCAGATTCATTGCCTGGTGTGCAAAAAGTCAAGAATTAGCCACTGTGGCCAACACTGTCACAGGCTGTCCAACCCCCACCTTATTACAACCTCTTTTCAGGTGGTTGTAGAGAATGAAGAGGCCCCTAAGCCTCCTCCAGGCTAAACACCCCCAGCTCCTCAGCCGCTCCTCATGGGACCCTTGGTCAAACACTGACTGCTTACTCTAGTGGTCCCTGTGCTGGGAGAGTCTTGGGAGCTCAAATCCACAGTGGAGGCACTGAGGCAGCCTCAGCATTGCCAGCAGCTGTTCGGCTGAGGGAGGGGGCACAACGCCCCAGCAACAGGCAGCAGTGCACCTGCCGGTCCTGGGAATGTGCCAACGTGCCATAGCCTTATATTAGCTGCAAAATAACTCCTCCGATCCCATAATTCGAAGGGACATCTCTAACATTATTGGTTATTCCACAAGCAGGCAAGCATAGCCTGCTTGCTTTCCAGCTTAAATAACACAGTGGCTACAGCAGCTTCCTCTGTTCAGGCAGCCAGATCTTCACTGTACCCGTAACAATCTTCCACAGGGAAGGCCTGTGGATTTTATGTAGATGAAATTGCATGTTTCCAATATTCAAGGCATACAGAAAACTCACCTGAATGTCTCAGGCACACTGCTGCTCTGGGGCTACCTGCTGTACTTCTTTCATAGACTGAGTCACAAAGCATTTCAAAGACAAGGTTATATTTACACAACATTGATGAAAGACAAGAAGAAAAGACAAAAATCAATTGTCTGACCTGCTGCTCTAGTATCTGGAATGGCTCCAACACTTTAGGCATTTACACATCCACAAGGCCTCTAAGTCACATCAGCAGACCGTGTCTTCATTCCTGTCACAGCATTACCCTTTTGGACGCTCTTGGTTAGTGTCTCCTGAAAGGCTGCAACCTCTTCCAGAAAGCTTCCAACGATTGCATCTTTTCTGGTCATTAAGTGTGGCACTGCAATTTTGTGTTGTCATCAGTGAAAGCCTCACAATTTCAGCAATGTTTAACTTTGGTCTGTAGTTGCAGAGTTGTAGTTATACTGATAATTTCCAGCAGTATAGCAGAAGCATAGCCAGAAATCAGTAGTCAAGAGCTGATCCATTCCAGTAGTGCTGACAAAGGTTTCTTCTTGAGTATTCTTCTATATGAAGGAAGATGGAAGACGTCCATTTTGGGGCTCCCTGCAATATTAGATTCATTACACCATAGAAAAAGGGGGCAGAGATGGGCCCAAATGTTTTACATACTACTTAAAGAGATGCAACCAAGGTGAGAAATCACAGCTCCACTACAAAGCTACTCCAGATTTGTGGAGACAACTCACTTTGTAATTCCAGCAAGTTTCTGTGTGCAGATACAGAGGCATCTGATCACAGAAGCAACACAGTTCTATGTATTTTCTGCTGTGTACTAGCTTATGATTCCCACAAGGAAATCCTTGTACTGTACAGGATGAGGGCAGCATCCTATACAATGAAGCAATCATCCAATACAAGCAAGACAGTGGTTCTACTGATGGACAGATAAAACACTCTGAGGATTTTAAACTCAAGGACTGAGTGCTGAAAAAATAAAATGGCAATAAACTGTCTGAAACAAGTAAAAGAAAGGAATGAATTTTCATTTAAAGAGTGAGCTTCAGGAATATCTTGTCCATAGGCATAGTGGGGGTAAACAGAGTTATTTCAAAGTCAGTGTTTTCAGGAGCAATTTGTGACAATGTGGAAACTTCTCAGGATTCTTTACTTTCTCCTGGTCAGCTGCAGTGTTACACACCTGTATGCAAATGCAACGTGTGCTACTTGTGTGTTTGTGTGTGAACCTCTGACAAGTACATTAGGTCTTAATTTCCTTCCTAGGAAATACTAAGTAAAATTAAGGCTTCTCTGAATTTTCTCGAAGACGCTTATGACTTAATTGTCATAGCTTCTTTAAAAGATTGCCTAAACTCAGGGATGATGATGACTATGGTTGACAACTTTGATTCTTAGCTGCTTTCTCAAAAGGGCATTTTTCACCCATGCAGAAGACAAAAATTCGTTGCTGTGCATTGGAAAACTTGAAATTAACTCCCTTCACGACCGAAGACCACTGTAAATTTCACCTGTTTTTTTTCTTCCAGTGCAAGACACTTTCTAAAAATCTTCTCTATATGGAGCTGCAACTTCGAAAAAAAAATAAAAACCTCCCTAGCCCCTTAGAGATTGTCTCCCAATACAAAATACTAAAACTTGATATGCTTGAGTATACTAGTCATGATTACAATATAAGACTTCTGTGGTACTGTTTCCTACATCAATTTATTTGCTTTAATAAAGACAATTTTTACTCTTCAGTGCCATTTGTACCTCCTGAGGACTGCATACACATATTTGCAGGTACGTGTGCTCTACTCAGACCCAAGTTTGAAAGAGTAGAGTTTCTAATGTTCCTGACGAATGTGACCAAAAGTCTCCTAATGGTGGGATATTAAGGCTGGTGGCATTGAGTTGTTAATGGCTAAGAAGCTAATTCATTAATGAGATTGTAAAGATCAACAAAAGCTTTAATTTGAAGCTACAGTCTGTACTGCTTGTTTTCAATGACATAGTCTTTTTCTGCAAGGATTTTATTCTGGCAATGTGCGCTTTTAGAACATCCTGTAATGACAAATCTTGTAACTTAAATCCTAGTTCTGAGAAGCTGCAATTGAAGGTACCACAGAACTTTTCTTTTTATTTTTTAAAAGCTGAACCACATACCCTGTTAGGCTTCCAGGCTATTTTTAGGTGGTTTCTATAAAAAGATTTTTAGGAGATAGTAGATGAGGTCTACCCCCTCCCTGACGCATAATGTTCTGCAAGTGTATTCTTAGCAGCATGTTCTGACAGATTACAGCTTTCCAAAGGGAGATGGGAATTGCTTAAGGACACTCAGAAGCGTGACTACACACTTCTCCAGCATGTCTGGAGATGGGGTTATTAATAACTGCCAAGGCCCTTGCCTGCCTCAGCAGCTTGTAGACAGCAAAGAGGGGAGTCGCCCAGTCTGTATTCACTCAACAGGAAGGCTGCTCTTTCCTTTACCTCTGGAGATACTATGGAGGCACTACTGCTGAGTTCCAGACCTCTGGGACTTCATGTCTCTGGAAACCTGGAAAGTTTTGTTTCTAGGTTGCTCTCTTATTGAAGATAAACCACCAACCTGCTCTTACTCCAACAGTCAATTACAAACTTCTCCAGGAAATGCTCCAACTGATCAGATGGCTGAGCTATAGTCAGGCTGCAGACACTATGTAGTCATGAGGGCAGGACTATGTTGGTTGGCTCTGTTTTAGAAGAACAAATTTATAAATCAGAGATATCATCTGTACTAGCGTGGGTTTTGTGTGAGCAGTTGCACACACAGACACACACACATGCACAGCCCTTCTGAGAAATGGAAAATTAGGACCTGGCTGTTCTAGCTTTTTTGCTGCAGTGGCATATTTAGGAAATTGTTTCTTAGGAAAAACATTCAGGTTAGATCATTGTCAAACTGAATATAATACACATTTATTGTTTTAATAGAAACCAATGTTTCAAAATATTCCTAGGAATAAGCATTTGGCTTCCTTTATTTCCTTTTAAACTGGCAGGGTACTACACAATCCTACCTAGAAGTGGACCTGAATTTGTGAATGGATGGATGTGTTTCATTGCAAAGGTTGTGTCTTAACAATGGGGATGGATGGGTCTCTACTCCTGAAATGCTGTATCTTATATAAGGTTAACCTATAAATGTAGAAATCAAATTTCTAATGAGACACTGTAGTTTAGTTATGGTCTTAATTCTCAAGTTTTCTCAAGTTACATTGTAGTCAGACAGATTTCTGTTTTAAGTCAGTCTGTAAACACCCAGAGTAAACATCAAGGCTTATGTTAGTAGGCCCTCTTTATTCTTTAGCATATCTCACACCATCTCATCACTGCTCCATCCTGTTACTGATAAGGAGGAAGCTGACACTGTAAATAACAGATGACAAAACTACAGTGCCTCAGCAGTCATATGCAGCCTAAATTATTTGTGTTCCTGTTGATTACCATAGTTCAAGGAAACAATATTGTCTCCAAGCAGCCACTTAATGAAAAAAAAAAATCAAAAATTATTTGCTACAATGAAGGCTCCTACTCATAGCATCCCATTTTGATGTTCTAAGTTGGTAAAACATATAACTGGTGGGACTTTTTTCTTCTCTCAGTACAGTTTCACCCAGTCCTGCCAGTTCAGATAATTCTGAAATTGTCCAATGACACTTAAAATTGCTGAATGAAAAACACTGCACTTCTGTGCCTTAGTTTCCCCCTTTGTACATAGGCATCATAGCAACTGTTGTGAAATTACTCTGGGATTTACTGAACATTTTTAATACAAAATTTGGATATTACTGTGAATATTCATTCTGTATGTGTACATACATACATCTGGTTTTTGCTGTAGAACAGATTTTCTACAATACTTGGCAAAATATGGAAATGCTTTTATGCACAAATAAAGAATCTGGGGTTTGAAAGAGAGTTG